AAAATGATATGGGTTATTTTAAAACAAAGGAGTACAAAATAATTTATCATTCATAACATTTTTCTATATCCATTTGTTCAAGCATGAGTTAGAATCCTGTTAAACTAAGGAAATGAAATTTCCTACAGTGTTCTCTGGCATGGAAGTAGCATTCATTATGCATCTCCTAAATTTCCTCTTTACACCACCTCCCCTAAGGAAGGAGCTTGAACTCCCATGGAGAGTTTTCATCTCTCCTCATGTTTCCCTTCTCCAAGTGGATGGCCAGTCCCAAGCCACTTTGTTTTTCCTGTCTTTCTAGTTTTATCTCTTTTCCCATCCTCGTTTCCATGGCGAAGCTTGTGGCAAGTATAGGGAGGTAGAAATAATTAATGCGGTGATATGGTTTGGCTGTGTCCCTACCCAAATCTCAACTTGAATTGTATCTCCCAGAATTCCCACATGTTGTGGGAGGGATCCAGACAGGGGGAGGTAATTGAATCATGGGGGTCGGTCTTTCCCATGCTATTCTTATGATAGTGAAAATAAATCTCATGAGATCTGGTGGGTTTATCAGATGGGGTTTCTGTTTTTGCTTCTTCCTCATTTTCTCTTGCTGCCACCATGTAAGAAGTGTCTTTTGCCTCTCGCCATGATTCTGAAGCCTTCCAGCCATGTGGAACTGTAAGTCCAATTAAAACTCTTTTTCTGCCCAGTCTTGGGTATGTTTTCATCAGCAGTGTGAAAACAGACAAATACATGCTGAGACCCGTGGCGTGGTGGGGCTGGAGCGGCAGATTTTATCAGGCTCTGGGTCTAGGTACAGCTGTGATGGGCATTGTGTTACTGTCCGTTTGAAAACTCAATTGAACATCTTAACCTCAGCCTAGAGGTAAGAAGTATGTTATGTTTCTTAGCATCTACTTCTTGAATACAAGTAACAATCTGTCTTCCCTGAGCTGGGTTTGCCTTTGGAATTGCTCTGAAGTTTCAAATACAATAAGTCACACCAGATCTTCCCACGGCTTAAAAACGCTTTAAACGTCACTTAGGATTCTTGAAGTCTTGCTCATACCCCTTGATCATTTCAATAAAGTGGAGTCAAATTTCTCTGTCTCATCTAATGAAGGCTTTTCCATAGGAAGTCCTAATAAAACACCGAGTCTTTTGATCCTGAACACTCAGTCTCCATTGTATTTTCTCAATGTCTCCTTGTGTCACTTTATTTTGTTTCAGTAAGCTTATTTTTTCTTTGTTTTTCTTATTTTGTTTAAATTTTTACCATCAGACATTTGTCTGAAATCCAACCTGATTAAGATAGCAACTTTCCCAAAAATTTAAGTTTCACCGGGACATTCATATTTATTGTCCTCATAGATAATACCACTTCTTAGAAAAACTCATAATGCATTAGTCACAGTACTGAAAACCTTTTTTGTTTTTTGAATTTTTACTCTTTAGAGCAAGGATCTTCCAGTTTCGTATTTTTCTTTCTTAAATTCCTGAACCAGCGAAATGGAACAGCTACCACTTTTTATTTGAGTAGCACAGAGAAGAGAATATACACAACTCATCATCACAGGAGCTGCCATCATAAACAAAGTTCGTAAAAGGAGACAGGATCCCTGGAAATGTTTCCAGCAGGTGGAGCACATCATGGCTCCAATCCATGTGCGGCTCCCCTTTATTGCTTACTAAGGATGCATATTTCATATCCGTTAAAAATATATTAAAATCACACACGTGACAGCAAGATTTAATGAGGGAGTCTCAAACCAAAGAACAATACCTAGTGCCAACCTGGATATTTTCTGGGGCATAGGATTGAGAAATTTCAGGAAACCTCTGAAAAAAATACACATACAAATCCCCAAAATAAAAGCTCCAGAACATCTGGTGCTCCTCCTGGGGCCTCTGCACCTGGCCATGCCTAGGACACAGGAGAAGGTGTGGGAGAAGTGCAAGGCTCAGAGTCCACTCGTAATCCCTGCAAGATGCCCACACATATTCCAGGAAGATGAGAAGGTGTTCATTTTAATGCAGCATTCATAGTTTAACTAAATACACGACAGAACCCACGATTCAAAAAAAAAAAAAATCAAAAGCAAAACCCCATTTGTTTAAAACTGGGCAACAATTCCAGAAACTAATCAGTAAGCTCTTTCTACTCAACACACAAATTTGTCATCAACCTAATCATCGTCCTCAGCACACAATTACTAAGTTCCCACATCTGCAGGATGCCGTGCCAAACACTCTTGAAAACAAGTTACTCTGTCCCCACAGGACTTGAGTCTTGAATACAGATGCATAAAGCAGGGCATTTGGATTGCACAATATGAACACACACACACAAGCATGTCCATTCACACACACTCATACACGTGCACATATACACACACACCCATGCATACCCACTCACACACCCTCATGTGTGCATATATGCAGACACATGCGTGCACACATATGTGTACATGCACACACTTGTGTACACACACACAATCTAGTTATTAAATATATATATTGCAACCAACTGGGACACCCTCAGCTCTACTGAACAAAGAGGAACTTTATTGTATGCCATTGTATTGCATAATGTTTGTGAATTAAAAGCAAAAGCCTTAGTGTGCTTGGCAGAGAGCATAGATGCATACATCCTGTTTTCCTTCTTAGAGGAACAAATTGTATTTTAACTGCTTAGAAAATCATTACATGTAGTACTCTCACATAGAATCTTTTAGTTATGCAATAAATACTTGTTGAATATAAACGATTACTTTCTAATCTATCTGTATTGTGAGAATGATTTTTTCTTCTATTTCTACATTAGCTGTTATTAAGAAGATCCACGCCTAAGTTCTTCTTTGCTGTCAATCTCTAGAACCCAATAGTCTGGTACTCCCTCAGATGAATCTATAACTTATTACAAAGCTCCTATGAGAAAAACACGAATTCTATTATTTACTGCCATTTACTAGTCTACCACTGGGGTATAATGGAAACACAGGTGTTAAGTGCCACCTCAAAAGCAATCATCTATGTACGTAAACTGACTCCCTTTTACTCTGTTGGCTGCTAAGGGAAAGTACCTGACGTGCCATAATTAACATTTGGCTGATGCTGCTGGAATTCACAGAATTTTAGTGTTTCTTGTTCCTCCTCAGCTTGCTGAAGCCTCAGAGCCTTCACCCACAGCGTTTCTGCCTGAAACACACTTCCTGAAGATGCTTGCATGGACTACTTCCTTGCTTTATTTAAATCTCTGCTTAAAAGCTTATTGCCACTGCCACCAAGCTTCCCCACCAAGTCGTCTCTCTCACTTTTGCCAACCTATCAACCTTTCGGGTGTTCATTTACTGCTTCTCTCAGCCAACTAGAATATCAACTACAGGAAGGCAAAATATGTCCACGTTTGGTCACTTCTGTGCTCCCAATGTCTAGACCAGGGCCTAGCACATACTTAGCCTAGCTAAATAAAGATTTCTTGAATTAATAAATGTCTCACAAGATACATTAAGTTAAATGTCTCACTAGATACATATTTTTTAAAAAATTAAATGTTACATTCATTCTTCTGCATAATCTGTTTGTTTGTTTGTTTGTTTGTTTGTTTGTTTGTTGAGACAGGGTTTTGCCTTGTCACCCAGGCTGGAGTACAGTAGTATGATTCACAGCTCATTGCAGCCTTGACCTTTCAGGCTCAAGTAATCATCTCGCCTCAACCTCCTGAGTAACTGGAACTATAGGAACTCGTCACCACACCCACCTAATTTCTTATATATGTAGAGTTGGGGTCTAACTTTGTTGCCCAAGCTAGTCTTGAACTCCTGGGCTCAAGTGATCCTCCTGCCTCGGCCTCCCAAAGTGCTGGGATTACAGGCATGAACCACCTTGCCTGGTCCATTCTGCATATTCTATCACGCACCTTTGCCAAATGGTGAAAGGTTATGAGGACCTTGTTCCATTCACGTCTGCTTTCTGCATCCCCCAATCCCACAAAAAGCTAGGAAGCAGACATTCCGGTGACTGATCTCCAGGGAAATGTCCTCACCAGGCTCCACTCCCCAGGCAACCACCTGAGCTCCTCAGGGTTTACTAAGGGTGCTTGTGCTTTTACCAGCTCCACCTGGGGAAGTAAATCTCCCTGAGCTAAAATAGGACCACACTCTTCATAATGCATTTTCCTTTCCTAATGGTCTTGCCCAGGCCCCCTGGGAAAGCTTTTAGGCATCTCAAAAATTGGCCATCCGGCACTGCCACGGTTCACTCTTCACAGGTACATGCCCTCATAAATTCCTGCAGCCACCAGCCCTGCTGGCCTTAGCCAAGAAGCTGAGGGTCAGCAGAGACAATGACACAGCTTATGGAAATGGGGACGAGAGAATTTGGTGAAGAGAGGCAGGATCTTCCTCTTTGGGAGCAAGGTTCTCATACCCCCAGCAGCCAGCAGCACCTGCCTTCCCTGTGGGCCATCATGGCAGCCAAGGTGTGGCAGTGAAGGGTGCAAATGAAGCTGCTGTTTCCATAGAGAGTGTGACGTACTGGAGGAAACCAATGTTCACATAAACAAAGGATGCATAATTGCAGATAGTAATAAGTCTCATCAAGGGAATAAACAGAGGAGATATAAAACATGTTGCCCAGGCTGGAGGCAGTGCCCCCAATCCCAGGGACCCTATGCTTGGGATCCTGGGGGGCCCTGGACTTGAAACAAATGCTAGGTCCCTGAATGGGCTGTCTTTGTAGGAAGGGGGTTGGAGGTGGCTTTGGAGCTGCCATTTGTCTTGCCTCAGACTTCCCCGAGGTACACGCTGAGATGAGGATTCACCTGTAAGCAATTGATTAAAGAACTGCTTCCAGGAGAAGCCAATCTGGCAATGCAAGGGTCCAGAGAGGGAAGCAGAGGATGCCAGGCGGGGACAGCTTCTCAGGGGGTCTCAGCCTCATTCTGTGTGCTCACGATGCTTGCTGATGATGCTACCTCTGCAGTTAGCTGTGGAGGGAAGGGAGCTGGGCTTCGCACATTCACCTGGCAGTCATCGCCCTTGTGGGAGGCCTACAAGCCGTAGGAAGATGCCCTGAGCCAGGATGCAACTCCCCAGAAGCTGAGCAGAGCACACAGATCTGGTCAAGCGGTCTGTGGGAGGTTAGGTGGAGCCCCAGCAGTGTAGAAGGAGCCAGCTTGTGGCGACCAGCCCCAGGGAGTGGCCATCTCAGGCTGAAGAAACGGAAGGAGCCTGTGTCCTAAGGCTGGCAGGAAGCCAGTGGGGTCTAGGGTGGGAGCTTAGTGACCTGGGGTGGGTGGGGGGCAGTCATGGCGTAGGAGCTGGGAGAAGCAGGCTGTCATTGGGAATTTAGATTTGGTTCTAAGTGTGATGCCAGCCCTTTCGAAGGCCTAAAACATTTGCATTTTATGTTTAAATCCCTTTGGCTACTATAGGAAAGATAGTTTGCAAGAGGGCAAAGGTGAATGTTGGGAAATACCAAACATACACACGGTACTTAAAATAGCTCAAATCTTTTATTTTTATATGTACCCGAATGTAATTAGGAATCACGATGTGACAGTATATGACAATTTAGGTACTTTTAATGTCCATGTAGCTATCATCTGTCTGTACAGCTATCATTTATCATCTATTATCTATCTACCAATCTACATGCCCTCACACACACAAATACACACATTGTTTTATTCTGATAGTTATCTATGGCATTCCACTTTAAACCAAACTAAATTTACATTTCAAATTAAAGGAGACAAATAAGAACATCTTTGTTTCTCAAATGCTAGCCATCTCAGACATACCCTGTCATAGAATACATAGATAACCTTTTATAAACATTTTGATTTAATATCTCTTGCACTTCAAATGGCCCAGAGATTGTGTAATCAGACTCATAAACAGCAAATGACTTATTTTCTAAAAATTCTAGAAAAGAGCTCACTAAAGCTCCATTGAAGATTAAGCTAAATTACATTATTAAAACAAGCTGACTTCCATTACAGCTTAATGTTTGGAAACAAAGAAATATATAACTACACAGTATCTGTGTTCTCTGAAAAGAAAATAAGTGTGTGTGTGTGTTCGTATTTTTCTATGGAAATACGGAAATCTTTGAGTTAACTGCTGCTCCTTCTTGTCTGCTATATCCCAGATCATTTTGACAGGAGTCCTCGTCTCTCTTGAGGTCTGCTGCCACCCGTTATATGAAAAAGGTCAGAAGATGTTCCCATGACACATACTCTCTGATAGTCATCTGTGACGGGCTGGACATCACTACTGCTGGTCATCTGTGATGGGCCGGACATCACTATTGCTTTGTGACGTATGTCCATTACAAATATTGTGTCACATCAAATATTCACAGCTAGGGAGTATTTAATTGCATTAATTAGTACCAAATTATATGCAAACATTATTTTTAACATTGGTGAACATTATACCCTTCTCCTACTATTTATCTTCTATACCTCTTTTTTTTTTAACAGGTTTCTGTCTCATAGTTAATATTCTTATTCTCCATTTAAAATATGTGTATCTGTTTTAAAACCAGAGACATTTGTACTAGTCTGCTTTCTTAAAGATTACAGTATGGGTTGATATTCTTATGGGATTGAAATAAAGGCCGAGTGTGCTGGCTCATGCCTGTAATCCCAGCACGTTGGAAGGCCGAGGTGGGTGGATCACCTAAGGCCAGTTCGAGACCAGCCTGGTTAAGATGGTGAAACCCCTTCTCTACCAAAAATACAAAAATTAACCAGGTGTGGTAGCGCACACCTGTAATCCCAGCTACTTGGGAGGCTGAGGCAGAAGAATCACTTGAACCCAGGAGGTGGAGGTTGCAGTGAGCTGACATCATTCCACCGCACTCCAGCCTGGGCTACAGAGTGAGACTCCATCTCAAAAAACAAAAAAACAAAAACCAAAAAAAAAAAAAAAAAAAGAAAGAAAGAAATAAAAACCCATCATTTCTTCTGCCATAATTTTCAAAACTGCTTAAGTCTTTAACTTCAACAAAAATAGATTCTAAAGAGAAAAAAAGTAACGACGACTGCCTTATAAGCAGCCATTCTTGGTTTCATCCCGTGCATGTAAAGCTGCACCTTGACAGATTTCCAACCTTCTTCTGAACTGGAAGCATGCCTGTTGCATTTGAAAATAGAACTCATGCAAATAAAGATTTAAATCTCTCCAAAGTGGCCCTCTTCCCTTGAATCCTTACGTCTGCTAGATTGTACTTTTTCTATACAGACAAAAATAGACAACCTTTCCAAGGTGTGATGATCACAGCCCCAAAATGAAAATGTAGGAAACTAACTCAGTCCTACATTCTAGTAATAGCAACCATCCCCATCCTCTTCACTCTTTATTTTTGTCAGAGAATTTTTTAAGTCTTTTAAAAATTACAGTAGATTTAAATTTTCTATTTTTATTTCCTTAATTATCTTTTTCTTCTTACGATTTAAAAATCTAGTTTTGTCAAAAAATGTTTAATTGAAACTTTTCGGAAAGCACACTTGTTACTGAAAAATTAATCAGCAAAATCAGTGAGCGAATTTTAATGATGATTACTATTTTAATGGGTGAATATTTTTAGCTCTATCTTGAATGCAGAAATGCTTTCAGACTTGGGGAGATTTGAAGTGAGTACAAACTGCGTTATGCCATATCTAACAAGCACAGATAGCGCATTACCTTAATTCAAATTAGAAAGATATTTATAGGATAGACGAAGATGCTGCAATATAGGTAATGAATAAATGATGCCAGAGGAGCTGAAATCCTGCTAAGTGGGTGATGACACTGGCCCTGCCGTGGCTGTAGCCAGTTAACTGTCCTGCTGAAAACTGCAGTAATTTTACTTGTCCCATTTTTCTTGTTTTATGAAGAAAAAAATATATCTGTCGATTCAGGTTAGAGCTGTACACTACCGTATTATACCTGGTGGAATATGTTTATGACTTTCATTAATCAAAAATGAGTGCTGTGTGTCTACTATGTAGTTGGAGTAGAGAATGGAATTTTCCATAGCACATCATGTTATGAATTGCTATGACTCATAATACGTTCCCATAAATAAGCCCTCCATGAAATGTGTAATACTTGCCATGTGGAATATCTGTACCGATAGTTTTTGACCTCAGTATCTGTGATGTGAACTACATTTTCTATCTTTTGTTTTCACAGTTGAAGCATTCGATGAAACCATAATATTTACTGCTGCACATTTGCTCACTGTTGGTGTAATATATTTCGAAGCAGCAATCCTGCTCTGATGGCAAGGAGAAGGGAGACACCAGGAAGGGAACGTGTCAAGGTTTATTCGGTGTGTCAGCTAAAAAGGGCAACAAGCAACTCACTGGTTTCTAGAATACCCTTGTGAGTGAAGTGAATTACACTGAAACTTGTTTTCAAATAAAGAAATTGCTACTTGAGAAAGCAACCTCATGGCACTGGGGATAAAGACTAACAAATAATAATAATAGTCATGATGACAGCCATGACAAGAACAGCCAGGTGGTTGTGCTTACTTGCTCCCAGGTGTCTTACTGCAGTGGCCATGCTATCTCTTCTGGGCATTCACCATTGTCAAGGACAATGACCCCCGTGAGAGAAGGGCATCTCTCTCTTCCCATTCAGCCCTTTTCCTCAGCCTGAAGACTGTGGACAAATAAACAATTAGAACTTTTGACTTCAGTAGCAACTGGCCTGAAACTAAAAATATTTCATACTTGGCGACTGGTGTCCATCAGACTGTGGAAGACAAAGAGATGCATCCACTATTTACCATTCTACCCCCAGCCCAGAGACAGTCCCTGGAATAAACCCAGTGGATCCCAGCCTTCCCTCCTGTCGCAAAAAGGAATAAAATTAAATTGGAAAGAAGGATTTTCCTTTCTCTGAGAAATGATTTTTGTTAATGATGTCCCTAGTGAAAATGTTTACTTAACCTTTGATAATAAATGAAATAACCACCTTATCAGATAGATACCCAATTCTAATTTTAGGTTGAAGATTTTAAGTCTTCAAAAGCATCCAACCATCTGCAGAAAATACCATATGGCCACTGCTCTGAAGGGTTCTTTTTACATGCCTAGGATCACACCATCGTACCCACTAGATGTTATATATACCACACACCAACACACTCATATCCACCTGCGTGGACCTCCTTTCCCATCACTTGAAAGATAAAGCTTACTTTCATTCACCTTAAAAGGGAGATTTTATTCTTTCTAAATATATACCTAGCAGCAAATTGTTATTTCTGTATGTCAGAATGGGACTTTGGTTGAAATAAGAGGGTAGATTTCGGTCCTTGTGAAACTAAACAGGAAGGAATGTAAGGCCAGGGGCTGTGGCTCACACCTGTAATCCCAGCATTTTGGGAGGCCAAAGTGGGAGAATCACTTGAGGCCAGGAGCTTGAGACCAGCCTGGGCAATACAGTGAGACTCTCATCTCTACAAAAAAGGTAAAACAAACAAACAAACAAACAAACAAACAACAACAACAACAACACGAGTGCGTTGTGGTGGCATGCACTTGCAGTCCCAGCTACTGAGCCTAGTACTTGAGCCCAGGAGGTCAAGGTTATAGTGAACCATGATTGTGCCACTGCATTCCATCCTGGGCAATAGCGTGAAATTATCTCAAAAAAAAAAAAAAAAAGAAAAAGAAAAGAATAAGAAATATAATGACTTTTCTCCCTTCTCATTCCCATATAAAGGCATGTTTTTTTCCAGCACAACAGAAACAAACATTAATAGAAAATAAAGTGAGATTCTATGATCATTCTTACTGAGATCTCATGTATTTGACTTTTCTCGTACACCTTTTATATGCGAGCATCGTCAAAAGCAAAGGAACATAAATATTTACACAATAAAAAATCCTCTCACCTTAGAAAAGTCTATTGTGAAAAATATAGACAACCGGCCACTCACCTCACACCCTGAAGTCTTTGATAATACACTGTGTTTGCATGATTTAATTCTCTTCCTTCTATTTTCCCGTCCTCTCATAAGATTTTCACCTAGGGAAGTCATAATTTGCTGAAACTCACTTGTGGTTCTAAAGAGCTTCCTAAAGGATTTTGACCTTGGGCTCTGCTAGACACTGCTCATATGATCAGGTCATCAGAATCAAGTCCTCATCCATCCCAACTCCGCACCCAATCTACTGAGCATGGTATCAGAGAGAAGCTCTCATTATTACAATTTCTAGACGTTCATCTGCCTTCTTTTTTTGAATTCCTCATATTGCCTCTCCTTCTCAATGGCATTAAGTTTGTGCTCTGACATTTCTTTCTTTCCTTAGATTTTATCTGTACATTTCCATCTTAGGTTGAGTTCTCCCAGAAGCAGACTTTGAGATGAGGGTTTGGGTCCAAGTGTTTTGTGAAATAAATTCTTCCAGGAGAAACCAACTGGCCAGAAAGTGAGGACACTCAGCAGCAGAAGGTTCAGGAACAACCACAGACTCAGCCTGAGCTTGCAGGGAGACAAGGACAGCAAGTCACTGTGGTTAGCTCCTCCTGGAATCAGAGCTGAGTCCCAGGAGGGAAGCAGGAGAACAGCCCTCCTGGAGGAGGTGATCCTCTGACAAAGGCCCTTTAGCAGCAGAGCACAGGGGGGAAATTGCACACGTTGCTGGTGGAAGCTGAGGGCAGGATGGGTGAGAGCAGTACCTGCTACAGCTCTGCTCTTCCAGGTTCCCAAGTTGACTGATTCATTCATTCACTTTCTGCCCATTTATTTAATCAATGCCTTCATGATAGTGTAGTTTACTATGCACAGCAGTGATGTGTGAGAACTCTTTCAGAGTATCTCACATTTAACACATGCCATTCATGAGGGACACCTGAGTTTGCAGCACCTTTTAAATGAAGATTTGCCTCCAGAAATGTGTAATGACAATTGGAAAAATAAGGAAAGAAAGGCAGAAAAGTTATCCTGTTTGTATTACCTTAGCCACACCACTATAATAAATTAATGCCACAAATTAAAGTTGAATTTGAGTACTTTCTCTAAAACAAAAGGAAAAAAACATAAATAGCTGGTCATAGGTTTTTATAATTTGGTATTTGTGGTTAATTTAATAACTCTTATTCAGGAGATGCAAGAAAACGAGTAAGAACTTAACATTTTTTGAAAATTATCTGAGTTAGAATATAGAAATCACCTATTTTATTTCCACAACTATTGTTGTGGTTAAATTATGCTCTTGGTTTACTGATGAACAAACTAAATTCTAAGTAAAATACTTGTGCAAAGTCGCTTAGTTGGCAAGAGATGAGCTGAGATTCAAATATGGATTTTCCTACTCTTAAAATGGCAGCTGCACTTTTAAATTTATATTATTTCCATCATAAATAACAAATGGGAAGGAAAATAGACAATGAGAGACAGAAAAAAGACTACCTAGAAACCGAGTCTTTGAAATCTGTTATTTCATCCCTCGTTTACTAAAAAATTTAACCAGAGACCTAAAACTATCTTTATTTCTGTGGAATATTTAAATGATATTAGACTCTCCATTTAAAATAATGTGTTTTTACTGTAAACTATGACAAACATTAAGTCATGATTGAAAATTGCATTACACAGTTACAAGTTGCCTACATTTCCATTCACTTGCACATTCCTTCAAGAAATTATTAGGCATTTACTAAGTTTTCTGGGGACTTCGGATAAAAAGATGATTAAGCATAACCTCTAGCATCAAAGGAGCTTATTATCTCATAATTGGAGTCAAAGAAGTTCATAAAATGCTGTAGGATCAGATGAAAGATGTGCTTTGTACCATAGGAACATAAACAATAGAATGGCCAATTCCACATGGAAGGCCCAGGAAGGGCTTCATAAAGAAGATTCTGTTTAATCAAATACTTTAAAATTAATAGGTTGACTTCAGCTACAGAGAGGAAAAAGAGGAAACTCTGGGGAAAGGGAACCAGAAAAAGTAAATCAACAAAATTCAAATGTGTGCATCAGCATGGTTTTGTACCCTAAATATAAGTGGAAATTCCTGTGAACTGGGATATCTGGATGCATATTCAAAGAAAAAACAGGCCACCTAAATATATAAGTTAAGGAATTTAATTAGTTATAAAACATTTGAGAAACTGTCCAAAGATAAGATGACCATATATTCTTTTTTGTGTTTATTAAACTTTTCATTGAAGAAAAAAATACCTACAGGAAAGGCAACACATTCTGTGAATGGTTTGATGAATCGTCACAAAGGGAACAGCCCTGCATAACCGCCACCCAGGTCAACGGAGAAACTTGTAGCATGTCAACCCCAGGTCTTCAGAGAGAATAGATTTTCCATGCATTGTGAAACTATCCCATCCTCTCCTCTAGTATAGAATGTCTTTGCCATTCCCAGCTCCTTCATTCTGTGCTCTGCAACCTTCACCTACTTTGTTCCTCTGTCTCTGTTTTCTTTAGTTTTCTACACTTAGAATGTTCCATATTCACTTAAGTAGAGATTGATAGATACTTAAAATCCTCAGTTGATCCCTCTTTTCTGAGCATACAGTTACACCAAGTCTCCTTGCCTCCCTCTAAAATAGAGGCGGTCGTGTGAGTAAATTCCTACCAAAGGAATAGGAGCTGATAAGACAGGCATCACTTGGGTTACTCCTCTACAGAAAATGGCTTTCTATGTTCCTTTATCAACTTCACCAACAACATGTACAAGACAGGGCAGAGCTGTGATGAACAAAATGAGGTCCCTGAGTCATCATGTGGAGGGGAACTTCCTGCCAACCAGGAATGCAGCCTGAAATTTTTCATGAGGAAGAATAAATCTCTTGTTGTAGGAAGCCACTGGAACGTTGGTGTACGTTTGTTACAGCAGCCAGTGTCGCTCACATACCAGCCAGTGGCAAACCCAACGGGCAGGAAGCATTCACCCTGTAGAAAAGAAAATGCATTCATGTGAGGGATTTTAAGTTGCATGCATGATGGAAATATAGACTGTTGGGAGAAAGGGGAGGGCATTGAAGATACAGGCCCTGAGAGGGAGGAGACAAGATGAAAGCAGTTTGCAGAAATGTGAGCTCATGTATGTCCTCTGTCACTGTGAAGTCTTAGCTTATTGCTGGAGCAAGAGGGACAATGACAATCACTGGGTAGGAAAGAGATATGATGGCATTGTGTTTCCAAATGATCACCGTATATGCAACTAGACTAGAAGGTGAAGGCAACAAGAGCTGCCTCTAATCTCTTCTCAAACCAGGCTCTGAGATCATGAGCTGAGACAGTAGCAAAAGATAAGGGGATAGGTGGGAGAGAGGGATAAAAGAGTCATCACTCATGGAAAGAGAATTCACCAGATCTGGTTGTAACGGAAAAGAAAATGGAAGGCAAAACACAGAGACAACATGTTCAGTGGTTGATTGGATGTGGAGAGAGGGAGGGAAGGATGAAGAGGTGGAGCACAGGATATTATCAGGGCAAGGAGTCAACACTGTGTGATGCTGCAACACAGGATGCATTTATCAAAATCCATAGAATGTGCAACACAAAGCGGACCCCAGCGTCAACTATGGACTTTAGTTAATAATGACATATCATCGATAATATTGGCTCATCCATTGTAACAAATACTCCACATTAGTGGAAGGGGTTCATTATAGTGGAGGCTGGAGCAGAAGAGACGAAGCGTCTGGGAACCCTGAGTACTTTCCATTCCAGTTTCCTGTAAATCTAAACCTGCTCTAATAAATAAAAGCTAATAACTAGGGAAAAAAATGAATGCTTACATGTTGTAATTGGGATACATGTTTTAGGATATGACTGTACATTCCTAACCTGGTTTAGGTCTTCCTTTGTGTAGATCTTAAGTCATGCTGGTCCTGGAGATTGGGAAGAGGGGGCC